GGGAGAAGAAAAATTTACACGCGTATTAGAGCTAATTTCTAGAACTTTTTTCCCCTTCCACATCAACGTTTTCAGCTGCAGGATGACGTCATCATCATCATCCTCAAAAAGCATGTGAAATCTTAAACTAATCGGCGACATTTACCTCCACGGGGTGTTGGGTGGAAAAATACACACACGTAACCCTGCCACATGCACAGAATTAATCACACAAAGAAAGAAATGAAAGCCTGAACGTTTTCCACTTAGCCTCTGGCTGCAGCGATTAGTTGGACTACCTGCTGTGCTAAATATCTGCAGTGATTTAACTCAACCATTTTCACAAGCCCCACAGAAGAGCAAACACGCATGCTAACAGCAAACAAACAACTAGTTGTCTCCAACACGAAGAAGCCCTCTGGCCCTGCAGCATCTCTTTGCCCTCTGCATCTGTAGTTAATTAATGTTTAGAGCTGCTACAATGCTCGACAGGCAGCTTTGTATGAGAATAACAGCACCTACAGCACTAAGCCTGTTGTTTACTCCCAAAGGCCAGCAGCATCCTAGCTGCAGTACACGAGGAAGCGTGATTTGTGCAAAGAACACAAAAATCCACAGAAATGTTAAAGCTGCAGCCAGTGATTCATTAGGGTCACCACTGTAACTGCCCGTGGCTTGTTAGGGTCACCAAGATAACCACACCCGTCTCTTACTTGGCTACAGTCCTTATAAGGCAGGAAGCAGAAACCAAGTAGAAATTAAACCCCAAACAAGCAGCCAATGTGTAAAAACCACACGTTGGGTTGACAAGATCCCCGAAAAACAAGAGGCAGAAGCATTTGTTTGTTACACGTGTCAACTTTAATGTGTGTTCTGTCTTTTATATAAGAGATGTGACACTTGGAAATTACTTTCAACTTCTAGGTTTGAAGAGAAAAGTCGGCGCTGAAAAATTATGGGAGCCTGTTGGAGTTTGGGGGCATACTCTGCCCTTGAAAGGATTTTAGAGAAAACCATAAGTCCTACAGCAGATGAAAGAAGACCAAAATATTCATGTTTCTCTATGTAAACTGTAAAACAAATGTAAAGTTTATGGGAGTAGGAAAAGTTTGTTTTCGCAGTTTGGAGCAGCTGAACAGGAAGTGAATCCGGAGCAATGCTAGCTATATTAGCTAGCACGCTACATCGGTTTATGGTTGTGTAGCCTGAGCGGAAGCAATGAAAGGGGGTTTTCAGTGTAATAAGCCCAGTTCTCACAATGGGTTGAAAAGGTAAGCTAATGTTATGTTTTTATGGTTGTTTGACAGTACTTGTAGAGTTTGCTGTTATACCATTTTCCATCAGATTCTGTCCCTCTAGGGCGGAGCCTATAAAAAGGGGGTTAGACCTTTGAATCGTTTTCTCCTCTAAAATGTTGCTAGCTTGAACTTCTTTAACCAGGAACAGTGACCCAACTTTTAAACAATGACTAAATAAAAACCGAAATATATCCAAAACGCCAGTTTAGTTACAGAAAGTTTAACATTCTGTGACTCAAAAACTTCAAATCATGCTTTTATTGTGAAATCTGTGTGAGCTCTAGGATTTGAAAAGCCTCACAGGTCTCACAGGGTTTATCTCCCTTTGCTTGTTTTTGCCTCTGTGGAAAAACAGAAAAATATCCTCCCTTTGCATTCCCTTGGGATCTGGAATCACAATCCGTTTTCCCGCGCCATAGCTGCAGCAAGTACCAGTACAATCTAAATGGAGATGTGTAGATACACTTCAAAGGATGTTTTTGTTGGCTTCTGTGGTGAAAAGAAAATCAGTAAGAGAGACGATAAACCAGAAAGGAATTCTTGATTTTGAGACTTTTTAACGTTGCTTTCTCACGTTGTCGATGAGCTGCTTGTCTGCACATCAAATTACCGTCATTATTCCCTAAATAACACAGAACACCAATAAAATAAATGTGCAAATGACCTAATGATTGACATGGTGCTTTCTGAGCTTCTGTAGCAGTTCTCCTCTGTTTTATCAACACCGTTGCTAACCACTAAACAGCTCAACTCTGCCACCTGCTGAAGTAAACCAATGTCTTAAAATGCGATCTCTGTCTAATTTAGGCTTTATCTTAAGACTTCTACTACATAAGCTCAGTGCATTTAAAACATTTTTGCAATAAATCTGCTGTGGTCTCTAGTCTAGTGGGAGTCTTCTTTAGTGGGAAACAGTTACTGTGCTCCTGTTTCGGGGGTAGAAGTTAACTAGAAAAATGGGGAGCAGAAAATCTGCAGGATTACAAGTCTTACTCATTAATATTCATTAAATGCAAATGAGTCACCTCTGATTGGCTAACAGCAACACCACTCTTCTTCTTTATCTCACCAAACAACACAAGCCTGAACCTGTTCCACCAAGTTGTCGAGCGGCTAATGGCTAGCTTCTACCAGCTATCAGCTCTGCTCTCTTCTTCCTGTGGGCGGTCCAAACATAAAGTGGGCGGGAACAACGAGTATTGGTTTTCCCTGGAACATAGAAGAGACGGGCTTTTTCTGACGTGACGAGGGTCGAAGACACAGGTCGTAACCTACTTGAAGCTCTTATTTTAGCGAGCAATTTTGACCCTTTAACTTCCTCACCAAGAAAAAACAATGGAAAAATTCCCATTTTGCATTTTTTGATGTGGGGAAGTAAGGACCTTAATGTAATAGGAATTAATAAAACTAATAAAATAATAATTGCAGTAATATTAGGGTAATGCTAAAGCTGTGTAGTAATGTTATGCATTTTCTTCTAACATTTCCATATTTTTTAGTATATTTTTAGTTTAGTATTTTTTTCTTAATTCCATTTAATGCTTCAATGAGACGTAGGGACTAAAGAAATGCTCTACCAGTTGGTTGACAGGCAGGTAAAGGGCTACGTGGCTAAACTGGCTGCTTAAACAACTGCATGGAAAACACTACAAGCCTCTGGTCAACAAATTACTTGGTGCCCACACCAAAGTGCCCCCTGGGATACGTAGTTTAGCCTCCTCCTCAGCAGCGCGTGGCGCTCACCTCCTGCTATTAGACACAGCATCAGTGCAGCGTGAAAATGCAGCTTTGAACGTCCTCTCTCCTCCTGGGACGAGGGGACAATAAACCTCCACGTCGGAAGGAGCGAGGAGACGATTAGATTGCCGGGACGGCTGTCTGGCTGGCTACACCCAGATGTTGTTTCCAGAGACAACATCTCACCCAGGGGTGCGTTAGGATCTCTCACGTTTTGCTCATGATTCCCACCCGGGCAGTCCTGCACAAGCATTCTGGTTTATGTGACTCCCTAATGGAGGCCTGATGTCTTCTTGGCTCCTAACCCAGCACAATCCCATTAAGCTCCAGCGAGTGGGCACATCTCCGTGTGGTGCTTTTTTTGTTGCAGCTGCTGGCTCAGCAACAAGTTTGGGAGGAGGGAAGATAGCTAATGGAGAGCAGGAGCTAATTGTTGCATAGAGAGATCGTTTCAGCCAGATATTTCTAACCCGAAGCTCTGCGTTGTAAAATGAGGGCAAAGGCTTGGAGGGCCGGAGGCAGCAGACTGGAGGCTATTGCACACCGTAGTTATATTATTCATGTGGAAGGAGTTCCCTTTGCTTACAGTCAGGTCATCCGGTTTATTCCAGAAACAGAGCTGGAAAAGGGCTGCATCAGTTGCCGCAAGATGCAATCAGACGTCTCACTCAAAGAATCACTTCTGTGGCTAATTAATCATCACGTCCACTCAAGACCCCAAGGAGGCCTTTAAGACCGCACACGAATCAAAAGAGGCGCGGAGCCAAAGATCCCAATATGTCACCATCATCCCAGGAGATCACACCGGCCCTGGGATGAGCTCATCCAACCGACTGAGTCACAGACCAAAGCTGTTCCGCGTTAAATCGTGTGACGTACGTTTTCCGATGAACTACGGGGCGCCGAATGTTGATAAAAACATCTAATAAAGAAACTGCTACGTTTAGCTCATCGTGGAATAAATATGGGGTGTAAACCTTTTAAACTACATTTGATTGGACAATCACAATAATATAAATGTTCTAAAACATAGATTCAAATAATAAAATTAAAAATGAACATTTGAATCTAAATGTAAGCAGTATAAACATTTAGTCTGCTAGCTAACTTTAGTGGTACTATTCTGTATTTATGAAATGTTAAAAATACTTTATGAAGCTTTAATACAAAGTGACCTGAATGTATAAACAGGATTAAATAACACTTATTATTGTATTTTATTAAACAATGGCTCAGTCCTTTTGTTAGGGTGGCCCTAATACATTATATAATGGTACCATTTATGTTAAGATTACAACATTTAAATGTAACATTCATTTTAAATGTATTCAAAATGAATTAGATTCTGACTTTTTCCACTTGAAATATAAAAGTTTAAATCTGAATATTTAGGTTTAACTTTCAACTGTAATATCCTTATTTTACACATGAATTTTGAAGGATGTGGCAGGTCATTTTTGCCTCTCGTCTCGTCTTCTTCCACCTATCCGGGTCCGGGTCGCGGGGGCAGCATCCCAACTAGGGAGTTCTAGACCGTCCTCTCCCCTGCCACCTCCACCAGCTCCTCTAGCAGGACCCCAAGGCGTTCCTGGGCCAGTTCGGAGATGTACTTTCTCCAACGTGTCTTGGGTTGACCAGAGGGCCTCCTGCTGGCAGGACATGCCTGAAATACCTCCCTGGGGAGGCAGCATCCTAACAAGATACCCAAACCTGACTCCTCTCCATAAGGTCATTTTTGCTTATAATATTTTCCCAATTGGTGCCCCAAAATAAGATAAGTTTAACACAAAAATGCAAAGGGTGATATATTTAGTTTTGAAAAGTGAAATAGAATAAAATAAAGTTGTTCTGTATTTGATCTGATTTTGCCGATTCTCAGAAGGCCTTGATCAGCTCCAGGTGGAACTCCAGAAAGTTTAACAAGTCTGCTGTTTAGTTTCTTCTTTTAAAACATGATGAATTGGTGTGTTTGCAAGTGAGTGTTACCTCTTGACCCTGATGATCTGGTCTCTCATGGGCTTGATGTCCTGAAAACTTTGCTGGTTGACCAGGCTGTAGACCAGGATGAAGCCCTGGCCGTTCCTGATGTAGAGGTCCCTCATGGAGGCGAACTGTTCGGTGCCTGCAGTGTCCAGGATCTCCAGCACCGACGGAGAGGAATCCACCTCGATCTCCTTCCTGTAGAAATCTTCAATGGTCGGGTCGTACTTCTCTATAAAGGTCCCGGTGACGAACTGGACCGTGAGCGCGGACTTCCCCACCCCACCGCTGCCCAGCACCACCACCTTATACTCCCGCATCGCCCCTTCTTCTTCTCCTTGGAGTCAAATCCGACATGCAGAGAGGAGGGTCTTCTGTAGCGGCTGGAGGACGCGCATCCCCACGCACAGACCTGGACCTGGACTCGGACTACAACCTCGAGACGGTCTCTCTGCTGCAGGCGGATGCTGAAGCATCCAGTCCAGAGATCCTACAGCCTCTCGCTACTGAAATATTCCCACGCTATCTGGACAGGACACCATTCCAGAGGCATCCATAAAGCAATAAGGAAAAATAAGAGCCGCTATAATTAGAAACCGCTACACGGCTCATCCTTTTTTGTGTGCGCCCACAAATAAAAACGGAAGGCTACATGTCTGTGCACAGCGGGGTGAGAGTGGAGCTAAAGGCAAAGAGCTGATTCAACCTTAAGAAGACGGCGGTGCTGGGAATCCACGCCTCTGGAGTCGCCTCATCCTCGGGATGCGACCGTTTCCTGGAAGGTATGAAGAGCGATTAGTGCCATCTATAAACAAAGAGAGTGACGTGACAGCGTAGCGCACAAAATGCACCTCAAACTACCGCATCCTAGAATACCTCACTTTGGAGAAATAGGTTTGATTTTGCTCAGATTGAAGAGCTAACGACTAGTCGGAGCAGGTCTAAGGCTGTGAACTAAATCTTAAAGGTGTGGATTATTTCTCATTATAACCAGTCCCTTTGAGTTTTTATGCAGGCTGAACATATAATAGTCTCCTACAACTATCTCCTGCGTTAGCTTCTGATAGAAAATAAACGGTAAATGCTAGGATTTGAGAATCCTGACAGATCTACTGTCATGACTCCCAGACTGACAGCCTCCTCTGCCTCTGCTGCCTCCTCAATCAAGCCGTCGGCCACTTAATTACCATCACCTGCACCCTGTCATCACCTTATCTCACACACCTGCTCCTCCTGCTATATAACACCCAGCCTGCTCTCCAACCCTCAACTGTCTTTGACCTCTTCCCTAGCCGGCTCCATTTACCTGCTTCGCCTCGTTCTGGTTTTTGATCCACGCCTTCTCTCCAACTCTGTCTCCTGCCTCGCCCTCCTCGGGTAACGCCACGCCTAATAAAGACTTTTAAAGGTGCTTTACTGTGTTTGGTGTCATCACGGGTCCTTCAAGTTCAGCACATGACATCTACGTCACACTGTCACTTAACACTCATGAACTCACCCATCCTCAGCCACGACGGGGATGGCTGTTGTGGGTTTAGTTCAAGAAACGGCAAAGAAGGTCTCAGCTAGCATAAGCTAACCGTGTTAGCGACTCCACCACACAGCAGAACAACTTCAAGCTTGAGATATTTGTGGAGATAAAACATCAATGTTGCAAAGCAAAACGAGTCAGTGGTAGAGTAGAACTGCTGTTATCAAATCTGTGGCGAGATGTCCAAATATCAGGAAATAAGACTAAAGATTTCCCAGCATGCCACGCTTTTTCAGAATTGTCAAACATGAAACTAAATAAGTTAACTATGGTTTTAATTTTATTCACATTTAAAGTATTGTAATTAAATGAAATATGCAATATTCTGTGTTTTCCCTTGAAATTTCCCCAGCGGCGGATCCTTTCGCTTCCATTCATCACTCGTGAGAGCGGAAAATTTCCAGGAAAATACTAATATGAGATAAATGTCAAGAAACAGGTAACATATGGGAGTTTTGCAGGCCCAAAGGGGAGACTTGACATCTACGACTCTTACATGTCAACATGGATTGCTCTAAAGCGTTACTGCTTCTCTAGATATACAGTACGTGACTTTATGAGATATCCGGTCACCAAGCTGAAGTCGCAAATGCTGTATTCTGCCCACAATGAGCAGAAAGGGCTGAGAGACTATTCATTTACCCTAAAGGGTAATTTTATCTCCCGCTGGCCTAAAGCCTGGTTTATACTTCTCCGTCTGCGTCGGTGCGGAGACACGCAACGCCAGTATGGGTCGCCACAAGGGCTCTCAGACATGCTTACTAAGGGTGACGGAGACTTGCCTAAAATTTTAAACATTCGTCAAAAGTGATAGAGAATGCAAGCTTGTGATTGGCCAGGACCCAGCCGTGCAGAGACCTTTGAGGGGGCGGGTGCTCAAAGTTAAAGGTATAGCAATCAATGTTTCTGAATTTCAGGGAAGAACTGGCCTCCCCACGTTGCGCAACACTCTCCCAGCGCCTGTTTACAAGTAGCTGCTGGTCGTAACGTGTATTAAGAGGCTCTAGAAATAGCATGCAGAACGTTTGCTTACCTCTCGAGCAGGAAACCGGCAACAGCGGCGTCTGTGGGGAGCGGACTGGACCGCGTTAGCCTCTTCCTGATTTCCATGCGAGTGCAGGGGTGCACAGAGTACGCATGCGCAGGAAGTGAAAACTAACCCGGGATTGGCTTCACCAGAAATTGACATTTTTGCGGACCAATGGTTGACGTGATCCACCCGGAAGAAAAACATCGATTGCTATACCTTTAATGAAAGGGAAACTTATAGAGCAAATTTTTTAAACAGATTTACGATCCAACAAGTTTGAAAATTCAGATAATGAGATCCTTGGGGTCAAGCAACAATATAAACTAGGAAAAATATGTCATTTAGTGTCATTAATTGAAGGTAATGTTAGTTCATAAATAATTGTTTTAGTTTTTAAAGCTGACTGAAATCTAGAGATGTTACAACCACATTTTTGTCCAAGTTGTTTGATTTTTGATTATCTTCCAACACTGAACCCTGTTCCGATACGAGGCAGTAATGCAATGCGTTACAACAAAAAGAAGATAATGGAAGAACACACAAGGTGTCCTTCTGTCAGTATTTGTTATTTTTCTCATTTAGCCTTAACAACCACTCATTCAGGAAGTACATTGAACAGTATTAAAGATTCAAAATAATTTGTCATTGCACAGGCGTACAGCGACACTGACTGTGCGCTCACTAAAGACAGCTCATGTAAGAGGTGGTAAAATATGAGTAAAATAAAACAAGTAGAATAAATGCAATCACGTGAAGTTATCCAGTGTGATCTGCAGCTATGTTAGCTGTGATCTTTTCCTGTCTGTAGGAAATTCCTGATCCAATTCCATGATCTCATACTGAACTTCACCCTAAACCTGACCTGGTGTGTCAGGTTGTTAGGTGTGTTACCAACCTAACAACATTCTTTACACAATATCAGACTGGATACCACCTTCTCTCCTTATGAGGGCGCACACACACACACACACACACACACACACTGTGTGAATAAATTTCTATTTTCAGCTAAATAAATATTTATTGTATATATAAATAATGCTGGAATGAAGCTGAATCATTTAGTAAATAGTTGTGTTTAAATAAAAACAAGTGTGATTGTAATCTGTCCCTCCTCGTGTCACCATCTACAGAAACTTCTGGGACACCTGACCAACCAGGTGGATTTTCTGTGTGACGTTTCCATAACTTTATAAAAGCTGCTGATGCAGATGATCAGATGACCTCGTCCGGGGTGTTCTCCGCTCTCCCGTTGCGCTTCGCTCCGTTTCTGTCTGTCACACTGCAAAGCTGTGGTTTCCCTCTAATAGCGATTTTTGGAGTAACGTGAATTACATCATGCAATACCTCGTTGGAAAGCTCGTTTTATGTCGTTTTTGAAACCCTTGCAGTGGCGTGTCCAGATCTTTTAAAATGGGGTGGCCCAGATGAGGCACTACTTTGTGCATGGGTGGCACCAATGGTTATGCTTTTTAAAAAAATTTTTTACCACGAGCCTTTTGTGGACGATGAAAAGCCTATTTAAAGGGAATTCAGTGTGGTGGCACCTGGGGTGGCCAATCAGATTCCAAGAGTGGCATTTGCTACCCCAGGCCACTCCCTGGACACGCCCCTGAACCGTTGCATTCAGAAGTTATGACGCGGAGAATCTAGAGTGAGAAATAACATGTGGTTCTGGTGTTTCTCTAGTTTCACTTCAGAAGTCTCTCATGTTTGCTTTTCTGTCTGATATGCTAACTCTGCTCGACACACACACACACACACACACACACACACACACACTCAAATGTTAATGTAAACAAAAACTCTGAGGTTAAAATCCATCCAGCTGACATGATGCAGGCTGAATAAAAACTTACAGGTTGATGAACGCAGACTTCTGCCGACAAGCAAAACACCGGTCTGTCATGGCAGCGAGTTAGAGGGACAGCCAATCACACGTTATTCTGACGCGGCAGAGCCAATCAGTGAGCTTGTGGGCGGGTCTAAAGGAAAATAGGTTTCAGCTTGAGGAGGCTGCCTCCGCATGGTCCTAGTGCCTGCATCGTATCTAAGTATGACAGTTTTGAACGGTAAAATCTGATGGAAAACTGAAAAAAGTGCACTTTGGATGAAAGGGGCAGGTGCTCAAGCATCCCTCCCCCCGTGCGCGCATGCCTGGCCAGGACGCTGCTTCCTGTAGCTCCGTTAAAAAGTAAAGAGCTATTTAGCGGCAGACCCAGCACAGATTGAAGAATGCATCGCGGAAAAAGTCAGAAAATAACATTTATTAACCTGTGAGTGAATGAGTACAAAATACAAATTAAATGTGGACGGAAACGATGGTGAAAGTCAGTTTGGGGGTGGTGACTGCATGAAGAGGTGGATAACAATGAAGGACAAATTTGTTTGTTACAAAGTCTCTGAAAAATATAAACATATTGGTAAATATCAGGTAAATACACCATTGGGAACCGATACAAGTGTTATGGTGGCAGGATACCACAGAACAGCGCTATGCCCTCTGTTGTCCTGGCGGGGAATTGCTTTGCAATGCTCCGCTGCCTGAACGGAAGTTGGAATGTGAAAACCTTTCTGACACGCCGTATGCGTCTCTTTGTTGCGGAGCTCATAGAGAAGTTTAAATCAGGCTTAAGAAAATGCTACTTGGTGTACCTTTAAAGACGTCTAGATAGCTAGGTGCCGTTTCCTCTCTCAAAGCAAACAATACATAGTAAAAATCTATACAATCAAGTTACTATACTATATAATTAATTCTCACTATTTTCTCTTTGTTGTATGGCACATTTCTGATGAGCAACAAACAAGAAAATCGGCCGAATCAGTGACTGGCCAGTCAGAAATTCAAAACCACAATCAGAGATTCTTCATTTTTTATTTGATGGTACCAAAATTGCCATTTGTATCCTACTGCTCGTTGTGTTTACTGTAGACCCAGTGTGAGTAGCAAATAGTTTTATCATGCTATGAAAATTATGCTTTAGTGGCACCAACAACCTCTCATATACTCATTTTAAACTGCAGTAGCAACAGGGTTTGACAAAAAATAAATAATGCAAAAGAAATTTCTTGTGCAAGCATGTGGCCTTACTGTGTTGTGGTTAAAAAATAAATAAAAATGCATACAGAATCAGCATTTACTCATATTTCTGTCTATTTACCATATCAGGAGCCACCAGGTCTCCATTTAGACAAACGAAAAACTTGAGTCAGGTTGTTGCATTAGTTTGAAGGAGAAAAAAAAACCGAACAGACTGCAATTAAAGGACAACCAAACAATAAAAGGGGTCATTTTATTTTCTTTATTTCTTTCTTTCAATAAATTTTACAATATCTTGCTGGAGACAGAAACATTTGACTATATCAACACAAAATATATGCAAAAGAATACATTTAAATTACATTTGAAATTATGACTCCAATGAGCGGCTTTTATTGTCACTTTGCGTTTAAGGTGGACTGCAACAATGATGACAGTCACTTCTGGTTTATCGCCCTCTGGTGGCTACTGCTGCGAACTACAGTTCCGTTTTAAAGCAATGGACCAAACCGAGACCATTGCGTTGTGTTGCAATCCTCCCCTTTTGGCTACATTAAACCCTTAAAACCGATTCCAGATAAAAAGATCTCGACTTGAAATGAAACTCAAAGGGGATCTGAGAAGTGGGAGCCATTCAAGTGTATTTAATACATGTCATAAGAGCTTTTAAAAACGTAAATGGACTCGAGATAAGGCAAAGTGTTTGGATAAGCTGAGTCTGCTCAGTTGACCAACTGCTCAGAAAGTGCTTTTCTTCTTTTTTAAAAACCAGTCGTCGACCAACGCATTCACAGCTCAAGTGGATTCCAGACACGAAGGGTATTTCAGGTCACCAGATGAGGAAAAATCTTCTTTTTTTTTGTACAGACATTTTTCACCAGAAACATTCATTACAATATCATTTATAAAGAAAAGAAAGGTGTTTTTCCATGCAGCAACATCTTGTATTCATCTCGGGTGCTTTTTGACTGAAGTGCTGGGACCCCCAAACTCTCAAACAAGTGGAAAAACCACGTTTTTAAACAATATGCAATCCTAAAGCCCGGTTATACAGACACCCTAAATAAAAAGTCTCAGAGTGAAACTTAAAGGTCCTTCGTCCAGGGAGGAGTTGTACATCTGATTCATTTATAGAATATTTATTTCTTACATGTACATATATAGATTTATATGTAAAGTCTATAACTTATAGATTAACAGTTATAGCACTACATCTGCTAATGAAAATACCAGGTTTTAATCTCAGTGAATAAGAAATGTTCAGATCTTCTTTACAATCTACCTTGTGTACAGTGTCCTAGCTAAAACAAACAAAATCAACAATGTCATTTACAAAAATACCCATATTTAGTAACTGCAACATTTGGGTTGCCACGGCAACACCTTAATATTGTTATGAAATATTATTATACTAGAGAGAAAGGTACATCTTTTTAGGATTTTTCTTTGAATTCCTTTTTTTTTTTTGGTAAAACTTCAACTAAACAACTTTTTCCCCCTCCCCCAACAACTCTAGAACTAAGGCTGCAACACCGATCCAATAGGCGGGTGGAGCTTTTAGCTCCGCCCCTTTCCAATCACTCAAGATGACTCCTCGTTCGCCGACTTGACCGGGTTGAAATGAACAACCACGCAGAACATGGAGCAGCTTAATAAATTACATTCATTTCAAAATAGTATACAAGTTTGTTTTTCAACCGAAGAGTTAACGTAAGATAAGTTACGACAAACCGCGACTTTTTGAAACCGCCTTCCAAACACACACACACACACACACACACACACACACACACACACACACACACACACACACACACACACACACACACACACACACACACACACACACACACACACACACACACACACACACACACACACACACACGAAGACAACGAACCAAACCAAAAGTGACTGTGGATTGTCGATGTTAGTCAAGCACCATGAAATTACATCCAAAATTGATGAAACGGTGTTACTGTTGGGTGAAAACACGCCATCAAAGTTGTGAAATTCTAAAAAATAAAACAGGAATTTTTAAAATCTTGGCTTAAAAGCTAAATGATTGTTCCAAAAGGTGGAGGTGGATACAAAGGGGAGGGCGTTCAAACACACAACTTTAAATACATTTGTCTTTAGAACCTTGAATATAAACTTTCAAAATAAGAGACACTTTACATACATTACAGTTTACAATACGTTGTTTTCTCACTCCTCGTGTAAACTACTTGAACCGATGCAAGAAACGATGGTACACCGTGAAAAACACCAAACATTCCACAAAGCTATTTTCTGATTTGTCGATTCTTTCCGGATTCGTTTAAATCACATGTGATGTTATGACTGTTTCCTGTTGATGTCTGTCCAGAGGAGTCCGTCTGTGTGTGGTTGTGACTCTTAGGTGGTCCGCTCTGGATACGTGTGTGGTGGATGAGCATTTTTCAGGCACTTCTAACAGTTTTTTTTCCTTTTTGTTGTTTTTTTTTCTCTAAAATGGAACAGGATTATCGGTGAGAGTAGGGTTGGATAGGACAGCCCTCCAGTCCAAGTTCAAGTCATATTCACGCTGGACGAAAACTCGTCAAATGCACCAATTTTTTTTTACTTTGAATGTTTGTTTTTTGTTTAAGTTTAGCACTTGTTTTCCTCTTTTAAAAAATCAAAAGCATTCCTACCAGGCTCGGTGTTGTTTAAAAGTTGCAGTCTGCCGGCAGACCTCCTGATGCGAATGCACACACTCGCTCACTCACAAACACACAAGGCTTGGTACGAACCCTCCAGCTCTGTTGAGCCCTTGGCACAGGCCACAACGCCGGGCCACGCCTTCTCCGACCCAAACCCAACTCAGCATTTCAACAAAGAAAGTGGCTCGGGGAATGGCGACAAATCAGCCAGAAAATTAAAAAAAGTGTTAAATAGTGACTCTGCTTAACCACTGGATGAGCGTCATTGTGGCAACTTCAGCAAGCGGGGGTCAGGCGATGGCTGTGGGGTCACAGAGGAACTCTGGCTCTTGAGTATATACAGTTTTCTGGAGCTAGGAGTCTAAAAAACATCCTGGGAAAAACAAACATGAGAGTGACAGCGTGCCTGAGCGTGGATTTCCTGTTTTCTTCTTCTTCCCAGATTCCTCATCCAACATTCTCACACAGTGCAAACCAAACATCTGTTGTTAACAAACCGAAGGGGCATGAACGCTGTGCAGAGGCTTTTAAAGTAACGATCCACTGTATCCGTAGTGCATCGACTGTTTCTGAACTATACATAAGAATATGTGTGACTTTTTCCATGTTCATATGTTGTTTTCTAGCAATACATACAGTAAGTATCTTATTTTTCTCTGGTTTTTCCTGTTTGTGATACACCGGCGCTGCAGCTCTAAAGGTTAAACTGAAGTGTTAGCATGCAGGTTGCTGCACCTCCATTGGAGAGGCAAGGTAGTATTTACAGAGGGCTTGTTTGGGGTTTCCTAGTGCAGCTTCGTGACACTCGGTCTCCTTCCCAAAGTTCACTTCAGGATGATCTGCAGGACGGAGACAGAAACGAGAAGAAAACCTTTAGTTTACACGTAAAAACGGAGAAAAAACATCTAAAATGACTTAAAATAGCAGGTTTTTATTCACTAAAACACCTGAGATTTCACAGACATGGGTGAAGATCATCATCTGCTCCAGTTAAGGGCTCAGTGTGTCTCAAATAAAGTCTGGAGCAAAATCACATGAGTTTCATTTGAACCTATTCACCTAAACCTATAAACTGATAAACCTCTTTATCAGGAGGATTAGTACAGTCTATAAAAGGAATCGGCCATTTTGAAGTGTGTTTCTACATAAATGATTCCCATCTTAGCCTCCAAAACACCCCCGGATAAGAGAAATATGAGTTTAAGATCAAAGCAGGTTGCTATTCTCATAGAACATAAAGTTCTTCAATGATTTACAAGAGTTGATATCACATAGCTAAATGTAGCACTTCCTGTGCATCCAGGGGTCAAACGGTGGGAATTTCGGCTAAACTAGTTAATCTGTCACTAGTGTAAACCCATTTTAAGATGGCAACAATATCCTTTGGTTTATGCTGCACTCTATCACTAGCCATTAGCTCATAAGAACCGCTAGCTCTCTGAACAGAGGCAGTCCAGGAAGCTTTAACAGGGTTTATGCTACAGAGCCTTGGTTCGAAGCTTCCTGACTTTTTAGCTGGCCGACTTCCTTCTGAGTCACGGTGACGTTCGCAGCGTTTTTACATGATGGCTGCCCAGGATGGCGGTCAACGATGTGCACAGGTTAGTCCAGGCCACGTCTTAGATGCCAAAAGCAAATCAGAACAAAGGATTTAAAAAAGGATGACACATTGCTAGCCTTTTACTAGCTAAACTTAGCGCAGTAAAGAAGCAACGTTAACAACATTATAAGAGTCTTTTTCCGGGGTAAAAATGGATGCCAACCTCTGAATGACTACTCAGATCAACTCAGTGGTGAGGTCTTGTTTTTATCAGTTACGCCGTCTATCTTGTTTAAGACCGATCGTAAAGAGGAAGCACTTGGAATCAGTCATCCACGCTTTCGTCACCTCTCGCTTAGACTACGCTAATGCATTATTAGTTGAAGCTCCTGTCTCTGCTCTGAACCGGTTGCAGGTTGTCCAAAATGCCACTGCTAAGATTTTAACAAACACAAGCCGACATAGCCATATTACACCAGTCCTGAAACATCTTCACTGGCTCCCCGTCACATTTCGTGTGCGTTTTAAGATATTGATGTTTGTTTTTAAAGCCCTACATGACCTAGCTCCTCCTTATCTGTCTGACCCGCTGACTCCCTATGTACCTACTCGTATGTTGAGGTCAGCTGACCGTCTACTGCTTTGCATTCCCCGGATGGCCTACAAATCACGAGGTGAGCGTGCGTTTGTCCATGCTGCCCCCATGCTCTGGAACTCATTGCCCATTACAGTTAGGCTGGCATCCTCTCTGTCTGTTTTTAAATCTCGTTTAAAAACCTACTTTTATTACTTGGCTTTTAGACAGTGATTCATGTTATCATATCATGATTTTATAGTTTTATTGTTTTGTTTCATCTTCTTATTGTTTTTACTTTTGTTTTAATTGATCCTGCCTGTTCAGCACTTTGGTCAGCTCTCACGCTGTGTCTTAAATTGTGCTATAGAGATAAAAGTTGGTATGTTATTCTGAAATGATAATTCTTTGCTAACATTTTTTCCTCACTATGTCAGTAAAGAGCTAGCATGTGTCATTATCTAGCAAACCAAAGCAGAAGCTTGTTAGCTTAGCTTCATAGTTGCTAATGTAGGCGGGCAAATATGGTTTAAAATCGCTGTCTTGATTTGATTTTGGAGTTTTACTCTTGCTTTTTCTTCAATTCAATTCAATTCAAAAATACTTTATTAATCCCAGAGGGAAATTGATTCTTGAATGCATATGTGGCGCGTACCATCTACCCATCGGGAGTGTTTCAGACAAACGGCAGCAAAAGCGCTTACACAACTGGTCCCACGACGTCATGAAATGACTGCAACATCACGCATGATTTCAGCGGTTCACGCAAGAACAAGCAAGGAGAGAGACGGCAGTGGTTTATTTTCCGTTTACCTCGGCTGTGGAGGTTCCACTGGTAACGACGTGCTATTTTCCGCACCAGTTAAGCAACTTGAAATATGTGCGTGACTTTTATTTTGAAAGTTGCTCAGTGTTTTACACCGCTCTTGTGTTTGACTTCCTGTCTGGCCCGATCTGCACCGCTGAGCTTGACCCATTCTGGAAGCGTAGCGTGTGAAAAATAGACCGGAATGGTACATTTATCCGAGCGACGCGTCCCTACACTTCGGCTTTGCGGCCGGTGGAAACGTACCCATCCACCGCAACAGCAGATACTTACTGCACACGATACGTCAATACACGTCTGGTGAAAAGGCCCGGTTAAATACAGCCTGGATTGCCCCATATGCGTTGCTGACTATTATCCTGGAAGTGACCGAGCTAGCATGAACCCTATTATTATAGATGTCACAGAAATACTCTTCTGGTGACTGAATCGTCGATATTCTGCAGGACTGGAATAACTGGCGTCTGGCTGATCTGAAGCTCAATCGTCGGATGTTTTAGGGTTTGTGGAAATGTTTCCAAGCAGCAACATCCTTTTTATTCTGGTCATCAATAAGAGCTGACCGAAGCTAACAATATCAGATCAGCTTTTCAAGGTAATCAGAATTTATTTATTCTGTTAATTATAGCTAACTAGGATTAGTCAGTTTGAGAACCAGAAATTGGTGCTGGCTGTAAAACCCAGAATCGGTGCATCCCTAGGAATAAAAAAGAAGAATGCTCTTCAGCGATCCCTCTAAAACCTTCTGGATCAAATCCTAGACAAGTGGAGGTAACACAAGCCATTGCTATTTTTATACGTATTAACAAATTTAAATTTCTGTAAATTAATTTATGGATTAGGCTTTAAAGGGTCATTTGTAATTTCAGTAAATCATTTGGTTAATGTTGTATTCTGACTAAACAGGTCAGCGAAAGCATCTCAACAGCAGGAATTTAGGTAAACGTGCTTCTTTGAGGCACACTGGGACCTTCGTGTAACAGGCTGGTGAAGTTTGGCACGACCACACAGAGAAATCTCATCGTTAAAAACCCATTTTCTGCCTTTCTGGTTGCCAAGTTGTGGCGACACCACCTCACTGGTGGTGATCTGTGCAGATAAAAGCCCTGGAACTATTTATAAATAGCATTTGACCCTGTTCTGCGTAACACCTGTGTGTGTGTGTGTGTGTGTGTGTGTGTGTGTGTGTGTGTGTGTGTGTGTGTGTGTGTTCTCTTTCCAGGAGATAAAAACTAATCCTCGACACAACAAAATGACAGAGGGACAGAGGAAGTCAGAGAGAAAGAGGGGGTGCGCTGCAGGTTTTAACGTGTTGACAGCAGAAAGGGAAGCAAACAGCGAGACGTGCACGCTCCACGCTGCAGCATGAAAACATTTTGTACCGCAGATGGCAGCAAAAAATCTAATAAAGATACAAAAAGTGCCAAGAAGTGTTTGGAAACAGACACTGGGCGCAGGGATGCCAGCAGCGCGTCGGCCCAGAACAAACTGGTTAGCAGATGATCGCAGTTAGGAGACCAGTGCAGAATCATATGAAGGTATTATACCCAACACTAGAGCTGAGATCAGTGATGTCATCAGTGGTTGTTGCTTTGTTTTTAAAGCTGTAGCTCTTATTATGCCACTAGAGGGAGCTGCAGCTTCACTGACTACAGCCAAGGTGACAGAAGGACAGCAGACGTGGACGGATGGTATTGGCTCCTTCTGACGGTTCAGGAGGTCGTGGGTTGACCAGACTCTGAACTCAGCCACGTGTCCGCAGCATTAAGACCCCACAAGGGAGCAGAAATCTCATGTACCAATCTTAGAGGGATGCTGGAATCTGGGGCTAGTTTTTACTCAAATCAAAATATGCTCTGATTTTAAAGCTCTAATAACATCTGGAGACCAGCTGATGGTGACCATGGGGCCTAGGTGCAGGGAGGAGCTGCAGGGGACAGACGGAGACTGACAGAGCAATGACGTCACTGGTTCTCCGGCTCCTTGTCCCACATGCATCTTTAAAGAGCAGCGCTGCTGCTTCCTGCTGCTACTGCTGCTGCATGCCAATTACAGGAAGAGAGGGTGACTCACAGGAAGTGAGCGAGCGGCTGGCCGACGAAGAGCACCGGGTTGAACGATGAAGCAGAAGTTTTTTTAAAATTCTCACTAGATGGTTCGTCTCAGATTAGGCAAAAAGGAAAGGGCGCAAAAAATCCGAGCTGGTGTAGTTTTGGGACTGGGGGGGGGGGGGGGGGGAATCAGCTGCTAACTGAAATCGGCTCAATCAGTCAACCTGAATATTTGTTAGTTTAAAAAAAAATGAAACAAAAAATGACCTTTCAGAGCTGCGCAAAACCAGATATTGGTATCGGCCTTCAACAGCAGAATCGGTGCAGTTTATGTTTCGCCGTGACGTAAATGTTTTAAATGAGTTTCATTTCCACATGTGGGACGCGTTTGCATGTCCTCAGACCACCTCTACTGCTAAACGACTGCCAGCTGCGTGCGTGAGGCCAGAGGCTCGTCGCCATGAGAATTAAAGGGCTGCACATGAGTCACTCCGGCATTCAGACCTGGCCATACTTCTCCGGCTGACGCTCTGCAACAGGAGAGCCGCCGCTCAGACGCCATTTTTAGATTTTTAGACCACTCCTGTAATCTGTTTTCTCCCACCTGCCTCACGCTGGACACGTTTCCTCGTCCTGCTTTAACCCAACATGGCTGCTGTTACGTATCACCTATCTGTTTCTGACTATATATCTGTGTGTGTGTGTGTGTGTGTGTGTGTGTGTGTGTGTGTGCACAGCGCACAAGCAGTTCAGATGAGACTGCGGATGGAGAACTGACAACAAGAGAAGTAGAAGACAAAACATGCAAAACAAAACCAGGAAGTGGAGCAACAAAACACGAGTACTACTTGCAAATGTGGGAGCTCTGAAGAAGTCCTCGTGTTTAAGGAGGGGTGGTCCCTCGGTCTGAGACTGGCTGGAAAACACGCACTCGTGGGCTTTTGAGCCGGCGTGAGCTCGCTACGCAGAGGAAGGACTTCTTCAGAGCTCCGGGGACCGATGAAAGAAAGCTTTAAAAGGAGCAAACCTGATTGGCTGGTGCTGTTGCTGCGTAGGGGACACTTGTGGCAGGAGTTGTTGCTGCAGAGACAGTAGCAGGCGTAGCACTGTACATCATTGGGACTTTGGTTTTGAGGGGGGAGAGAGGGAGAGGGGGAGGTGGCAGCAATGGACAGGTAGCATTATGGTAACCATGGCGACAGTTGTGGGCATGTTTGAGAAGCCATCGTTAGGGTTACACACCGGCAGACGGCATGCAACCGTTTCACAATGCAAAGCGAAAAAAGACAGAAAGAAAGAAAGAAAGAAAACAGGACAGCATGGGAGAAAAAAAACAAGAGGAGAGAAGCTGATTACAATCACAAGTACGGAAATTTACACGCTAAATCAGTTTGCTGTCGTTCCCAGAGAATGTAGGAACACCAGTTAGAACTAGCACTTTTGGCATTGTGGGTAATTTTGGTTTATAGGTAACTGAACAGCAGGGCGGCGCCAAAAACACCCACCTCTGGAGAGAGCCCAATATAAAACTTCTTCCTGGTGAATCTGCTGAACAGGAGCCAGCAGTGTGTTCGTTTCTCTGGGAAACTGATTTAAATTTCCTGCTTCGACACGTCACAGCAAACAGAAGCTAGGCTAACGCTAAACAACAGAGAAGCTCCTTCAGGTGACACAAAACCCTCGACCTAAACAAACATCACATCCAAACAGCAGGTTAGAGCGCCTCCTCAGAGACAGCCAAGGGAGGAGGTTTGTCTCACCTGTGAGGGCTGCAGACACCCCCCTCCCCTACCTAAATCAGACAGTGTGTGTGTGTGTGTGTGTGTGTGTGTGTGTGTGCGTGCGTGTGTGTGTGTGTGTGTGGGAGAGAGGGAGCAACTTCAGGACCTACCAAGACTGCTAGCAGGAGTCATGCACAACACTGACCCTGTTGTCATGCAGAGGAGGACAGAGAGGGAGACAGAAGGAGAGAAATGGGTTAATTCAGGGGGGAGGAGAACATCAAGGTTAGACAAAAAAAAAAAAAAAACCAAAACAATCAGCTGAGATGTTACAGCGACCACGTCTGAACAAGCAGAGGAACTCCTCTTCACGGCGGACGAGTGGAGGAGATAAAACGTCGAGCCCACGCTCATCAGAGCGTTTTAAAGATGATTCCTGAATCTCATGTAACAGAAACGACGTCAATTTACTCACTTGTTTTGATTCTAAGTAAAAACCCGGAGTTTTTCCTCAGAGGGCACCTTCTAGAGGCTTAAGCCTCTATCCCTACGTCCGTGATTGACCAATTTTTATCCCTTCGGTTCTTGTAGAAGAGACTCAAACATCCTTTTTACTGTAATTACGAGATATTTAAACTTTTAAAACGGCTTTTACATGTTATTACAACACATTTCCTGTTAAAACGAGATTTACATCTCAAAATAAAATGCTCTCATTATCAGGAGATGCTACTTGCACTGACAGCAACAGGCTGATGCTGTTTGGTAACGTTCTACGACTGAGTTTCCTCCTTAGCTCCACTGTAGCTGCAGATAAACAGCTTTAGTGTGAGTTTCTGAGAAAAAAAATCATTTCTGAGTTTATTGTCATATATTTTTGAATTTTCTTTAATTTAATGATTACAGTCATATATTTATGTGCATGAAGCCATGTTCTCAGTTGTAAATTAAACTTTTTTTTTAGAAAACCTTTTAAATCGAAATTAATATACCCGGTAACAACTCAGATATTCACTAAAACTCATGATTTATAAGAAAACTGTAAAAATTAAAGATTTGCAAGGAGGAAATTTTTACAGTCTAGAAATTAAATTTTATTTAGGATTTTTACCTACATATGCCGCGTTTAGAAAGTCACATTCTCTTGCTTTTATCCCTTTTTAAATTACAGGGAGTCAACTTTTATTTTGAAAGGGTCTCTTGTATTCAAATTAAACATAAGGGCTGACGTGATTATGTTTTTTCTTCATAAATTTATTACCTAAACCTTGGAAAAACTGCAGATGTCCCTCTAGTCAATCCAATGTCTGAGAATTTTAGCATTTTGTCCACCAGAGAATTATAATTTCACAATAAAACATCAGAATTTTTACACTTTTTTAAGCAAATTCGCAAATATGGACTTTCCCCCCCTCATTTACAAATTTCCAACATCTGAGAATAAAATACACGAATCCTGAAAATTTAAAAACATTTTACCTGAATTGTTCCTTTCTTTTCATTAATTACTGCACAACGACTCTAATGTGAGTAAAACTGAAGAGGTGAGACACACAGCAGCACCTTTCAGCATCGGGACTTATCGCGTTTGCAGGATTCTTGTTTAGCGAGTAATCCGAAGGCCCTCCAGCTACTCCTCCACTCTCTGTCTGGATCAGACGATGCGTTTGATTGTGACAAATTACAAACATTCATTCTTTGCCCAGAAATCCATCTTTCAAACATTCTAGCCTTCAGAGTGGAGCCTAGATATAAACATGAAGCATGTGTTGGACGGTTTTCTGCGTTTATCTGCCTCAGCGTCACATTCAGATCAGCAAGTGCATCACATTGAGTTAGTAATAAATCATAGGTTGTGTTGTTGCGATAAAAGTTTCACATTCCACCCCTGGCAGCAGCAGCAGCATCAAGGTGTTTTTATTTAGGAGGTTAATCAGAATTTAGTGACGGAGAGCAGTTAGCAAATTACAGCAATCAAGCTAGCTGTTACGTCTCCAAAAACGATCTCTGAGTGAATTTCAAGTGTAGAAAAAAGTGATTCTTCTGTTTTAGTTTTGTTACACTTCAATGTTTCAGATCGGTAAACCAACATTTTACTCAGGTTGTCTTTGTTGGCATGAAATATTAAAGCTGTACAAGGCAGAAAAAACCTGCAAGGGGGCAAATAAAATCAGCCCGTTTCCACTATCGAACCTCCTGGGTGATTTTACTGAACCTTCATGGCATGCCTGTGTCTCCATTTCACCTAAAAGGACCACTTTTTGGGCCATTTCCGCAACCAAACCAGAACCTGACCTGGGCTGAGCGGGACTTGTAGTTAACTCGTGCCGAATGGTTATAACTGGGTGGGAATTGACATCTGCAGATGTTGCCAAACAACCTGCATTTGTGAATTTAGAATGTAAGGAAAGTAAAACAACCAGTGTTGATGACGCATTAAATTGCCGTTCCTAAACTCCAAAAGCTGAAAAAAGGAGCGGAAATCCCTCCACAACCCCGTAGCTACCACCACCTTTTAGTCTCTTACAAAAACGTGTTTCTTATGGTCACAGAACACCACTTATTGCAATCCCTTAAGAGCGTAAAACCATCTTATATATGTAAGTACATGGTCTGGTCACGGACCATCGTGGGGTGGAATCTATGGTTGTCTTTTAAACCATCTTCACGTGCAACTGGACAGCGCCAGGACCCATTGGAGCAACGAACGACGTAATCAGCGCTGCGGATGTCAGTCAATGGGGCAGCCGGCCACATACCATCAAAGATGCAGCAAACACACACCTTTTCAAAAATAAAGGACTTAACTCATTTTTTTACCGTGTGGGCGTCGGAACGAGCCCCCGCACTGCGAGAACAAACGCCTCAGCTCTAGTGATGGGAATTTCGGCTCCTTTTAGAGAGCCGGTTCTTTTGGCTCAGCTCACCAAAAAGAGCCGGCTCTTTCGGCTCCCAAGTGGCTCCTCAGATTTTCTGTTGCGTAGAATACATTTATAACCAAAATAATGCTAGAAATCTCCACTTTCCGACTGCTGGCGCTCATTTTCTCACCGTCTTCGTCGCACTCTCCTCCCTCTCGCTCGCCTTTTTCCTCCTCCTCATTCCCTCTCGTCTCCCTCCTCCCACATGTGCTCTGCTGTGTGTCTGTCTGAGTATGATCCTCCCTCTTCCCCGCCCCTACTGCTCTGTGTGTGGACAAACTGGACACACAGTTACACATGTTGACCAATCGACTGTAGCTTTCACCAAGGCAGGGGGGAGGGGGGGAGGGGACGGCTCCCAATGACGAGCCGGCTCCCGTCGTTCACTTCAAAGAGCCGGCTCTTAGAGCCGGTTCGTTCACGACCGACACATCACTACTCAGCTCTAAAGCCGATCTTCATCTGCGTATGTCACACGTCATGTGATCAGGAAGCAGAGCATCCATGTGTTAGGAGATCGTTTTGAGCCGCTGCTGTAAAAAAAAGTGAGGCGTGAACCGGAAAAGCTTCTGCCGATCACAATTCAACAACGGATTATGAGAGAACGGATAACGCTCGAAACGCGCGGATTCTTCCTGATGTAAGAGGTGAGTCTCCGCTTTGTTTTGGCGTCGACATCATCCTAGCGCGCAACGTTCTGTGACTCTTAAAAACAGTGAAAACGGTGAGAAACGCTGGCAGTGAATGAGTTCAGAACCTCTATCTGCTCATGTCTCTAAGCTCAAGTCCAAAATGTTCAAAGGTTTAATGTTCAACAGTTTGGGCCAATGGCAGACCTGCTGAGGCTACAACGGAGCGTGGCTACACCGACCCGCAGAGCTAAATCTTTAGCTACCGCTACGGCTGGTCTAGATTTCGGAGCTATTAAAAACTGCGTACCTTGACAGAATCACTGCTGAAACCTTTGCGACATGCACATCTTAGCAAAGTCCTGAAAGGGCCGACTGTTTTATGGAGACACAACGGCTGAGAGGACCGAGCCACCGTATTGTCACCTTCCCCCTTCCAGAAGCATCCAGGAAGTCTTATAGTGGAAACTCGGCTTTTTCCATTGCAACGAGCGTATGAGTGGATCTGTGGGAGCGGTTACCTGTGGGGAAGAAAGCAGGCTGCTGGAGCTGTGCGTTGGCCAGCGCCTGCTGGTAGTGCAAAACACTGGGGCTGAACAGGGAGCTCGCTCCGTTGCTCTTCTCAAGTGCTGGTCTCTTTGGTAGGGGCTGGAGGACTCCGTGGGGGAAGGCCTGGTCACCGGAAAACGCGCACACACACACACACACACACGCACACACACACACACACGCACACACAAAAACACGGCAGGTTTGAACTGTGTTCTCACACTCTGGTTTTCTATAATCTGTTATTTGTCTACGCACAGCACAAAAAGAAAGGCAGAAATGGAAATCTGCTGTATGACTACATCGTAGCAAGGCAATCAACAAGTGTAAAAGCTGGGTTTACTTTTAGCATTACTTGTTCAGTAGCTCAATAAAATCTATCTAATCCAGTGATGATCTGACATTAAAGTGTCTTACTGGGATTTTCACAACAACTAAAGAGCCAAATTAAATTCTGCGAGTGGCTACAGTACAATTAAAGAAGCTACATGCAAAGCAAAAGGTGAAAGGTCAAAGTACCAGGTCTACAGTTGCCTCGAGGGGTCGCTTCATTGCTTTGGCAGTCGACTGAGTCTTATTAGCAGGCAGCGAGCACATGATGGCAGTGGGCCAATGGGATTCAAGCGTATTAACATACAGGTAACAGCAAGCAGAGGTGCATCATGGGGGACAGCATTGCATTGTGGATAAGTGAGAAGGAAAAAAACAAAACAAAAATAATCTGAATGCAAGTATACCACATACAAAACAATAGGCATGCACATAAACAAAAACTCGTTTACTTGAAAGAAACATTGCTACGTTTTGAATTAGTGTTTATAAAATAAAGCCACAAAAGCATCTATAGTTTAACTTTTTGTTAATATTTAGTCAAAACCTCCTCGGCTATTATGTGTCTCCACAAGAACAAACAGCTGATTCAAACGACCGTGTGAGGTGGGACACGGTGGTTTACACCAGAGATTAGCACGACTATGGCTAATTCTGCCTGAATGGCGGCAGCTGCAGTGATCCGGTCCAACACTTCTGGGGAAAAAGCTGCTTCACGACCACATTTTCACCTTTTATAGAGTATGCAGTAGGAATGGTTCAATTGTGACTGGAATCGGACGATTTTCAGCATGAAGAGCTAAACTTGTGACCAGCTAATTGGATGGTTCACGCTAGTTGCAGAACTTTTAATAAAAGACAATTTTTCCATATTTCACGAGAAAGTTGGCGACAAAGAGTTACTAAGGCTTCTCAAAAATTTCTTGAGGAGATTTTGCAAGACAAAAACCCGAAACCGTCGCAGAGTTGTCGAGCTTGAATCCTTCTCAACTGCTTCCAAACTTGGTTTCCATCAGTCGTAGGCGTGAGAAATCTTTGCAAAAACGGCAATAAACAAATTCTGTCACTGTTGTAATGTCTCACAAAAGAGAGCGAGTCTAGACGAAAATGTACGTCTGTTCTTGCAAACTAGTCGCAGTCCAGTGAGATACCGGCTTTGGCCGCCATTTTGTTAACCGTTTCAAATAAAGTTAGACAAAGGACCCAAATAAAACCCGTGAAATTTGAAAAACTTTGTTGCAAATTCTAGTTCTCACAAATCAGCAGATCAAAGCGCGACAAAGAAATCGACAATTGGAATCGGCCTAGAAGACTTCAACCGGTGCGTCTCTGATCACATGATCAGTGGTATTTGTGACAAGTTCAGAGTTTAATGACAGAATGTGGAGCTCTGTTGATTATTTTAAGATTTAAACTCATCTCTATTGTAACAAGATCATTTTGTTGCTTAAACTAAATAATTGTGCCTTCGAGTTTGATGTGACTGCTGGGATGAATAAAAAACACGAATGTGATGAACTTAAAGGGGTCCATGCACAAGCCTCTTGCTGCACGTATGTGGACTTTCTCCTAGCCTGTAGCCATGTACGCCCTGCTAATGAACACCAACGCGTCGCTGATGCGCCACGGCGTCAGACTGACACATTTGGTTAGGTTGAATGAAAGGTGGCATGGAAAGCAAAAGATGATTGCATTTGATTTGCAATGAGTTAGAAGAGTGGCGGACAACACAGTGTGGCACGGTAAAACAACGTAATCGACCAAAACACAGTCTTGGGAACATGTAACTGTATCTTTGGATTATTTTAAAGTGAATTATGGGTAATTATACCTGTAGGGGTGCATCAGTAGAGGTTTTAGGGATTATGCTTCAATAATAAGGCTTCAGCTTAAGCTAAGGGCTCAAAGACAATTGGATTAAAGGTGCTGAGTAAACAACTGCCTGTCCTGAGGTTAGGCCTCTTCACCTCTAGAAACTGCTTTGGGTAATTTAGGATCTGGGTCATAAAGACCATAGATGGGGGCTATGGGGAACACATTCTGAAAGTTTAAAGAAAACGGGACGAAAGATGGTTTGGGAGTCTGATGGAGGTGCGTTTAATTTGCTGATGTGTGCAGCTGCCACACTGTGGGCTCCCAAAGGAAGGAAGGAAACAACAAGCAGCAGCAATGGAGCCAGCCAATGAGAGGAAGAGTATGTGCAGCGCGTAAAGCATGCCCATGCCATGGAGGAAAAGGAAATTAGAACAAAAAAAAGAGAGAGAGAGAGTCAGTCAGCACACTGGCGCAGTGCAAGGTGTGCAAGTGCAGCAGCCAAAGAACCAATCAAAAGAAGCCACTCAAAGCCTGGGAGGAGGTGGGGAACAGACTGAATTTCCTCCCCGTATTCCTTGGAACAATGTTGAGGACTGGTTAAGCTAAAAGGAAAAGGAGGGTAAACTCCCATCCACGATGCTGCATCCATCCCAGATTCAATTTGCACTGATCTGCGGACAACTGCACTTATCGCTGAGAGCAGTGAAGTGGGGCGGGGGGTGCACAGGAGGTTGAGCCAGCACATTGTTTTTGTATGAACCAAGGGCATTGTAAAAAGACTGCAGTGGAATAATAGCAGATTGTTCTTGTGGCGTGATCACGGATGTGTTTAGGTGGGACGGGACCCCGTTTGTTGGTGACTGCTAGAATAAACCAGCAGAGGTGGGTAGGTAATAAAGTAGCGCTCCACATTTTAGATTATTGGATGTGTCTGTTCAAAAAGTCCTGTAGGTCCCGAACTTAGCAAAAGATTTACTAAAATATATAAAACAATCACAAAGTAAAGCAATCACTTAGTAAAGTCCTAACTACAAAGTTGTTATTGTTAACAGCAAGAAGGACAAATGTCTGAGTGACTGTTGGGTAGTGCGGTGGTGCGCTCTCACCATGGCTGCAGCCGTGGCGGCTGCTTGCGCCGCCACGGCTGTCTGGTTGGCCTGGTGCTGGGCCGCCTTGATCTTGGCCTGGAGGTGAGCCGGCGGGTGGAAATACTTGCACTTCTCTCGAGAGCAGCGGCTCTTGATGTAGTCCATGCAGACGGTGACCGTGTTGTCGCTGGTGTCGATCATGGGGCTGTCGCTAGGGTGGGCGAAGCGGCAGTCCGTCTCACCGCGGGCGCAGTTGCCACGCTGGAACTCGCGGCAAACCTGTGAGCAAGAGGGCCGGGTGGACAAAACAGAAAAAGTACACACAGAGACGCACAAACGCAATACTTTAGTTCAGGAGACACAATCAGAATCGACAAGCTAATGGCTAGTCACAATTGTTGCTTTCTTAAAGACCAAGTTCACTCACACATCTGCGGTGGTCTCTAGTATAAATGAATGCCTTGTGAGTCGATCTCTTTGGAAAAGAAGCTCTAGCGCTCCTGTTTCTGGAACCAGTAGCGAGCCAGAGGGGAGGAGAAAACTACAGGATTTGGAGTCTTAACTCCTGCCTGCCGCAAACTGCAAGACGTTACATTCTTGTTTTCGTACAAGAAACAAAGAATATTGATGTCGAGAGGAACTTGTTGAAATCGAAACGAAGCTATTGTTATTCATCTCAGGATGAATGTAACAGTCACGTTTGTTGTTTTAAATCCGGTCTTTTCCACCACATTCTGATGTCTTTTAGATCACGTGATCGGATCGGAGCACTCCTAATGGGTATTCCAGTAGAAATCTTACAATACGTCCACAGGAAGTGCCCTATGCTGCACAGGAAGTGCTTCAGCACACTGCTGCTAGTTGCATTGCAAGATTGTCTTTTTTAGAAAACAATGCCACCAGTTTGCTGCAACGCCGTGGCGGCATCAGAGAGCCTTAGGTCCTCTATAAGTGCACAGACCGTGGCGGTAATGTGGTGCAATCGTGTCCCTTTTACAAAAGATTGGGGGACGGCGGCATAAAGAGGGTATGGCAGCGGTCTCTGTGCTGCCGCAGACTCCATTTTCTTAGACATAACTTTATTGCGTTGGAAGCTGCGATCGTTAAGGTTTTTTAACAAGCCGCTCCTAAAAGTGTCTGTCCCCCACAGTCCCTGTGCAGTCTCTGGAGATCTGACCTCCAGCTCTGACGGAGGGAAACTCCCGGAGCTCTACATCGCTCCCGTTTATCATCTCAACTGGTTCGGTTTGCAAAAGTGAAACTTACGGCCCGCGTTTGCTTTAATTTTCAATATCGTTGCTGGCCGGAGTAAGGCAGTAACTCTCCACATGATCACGACGCCTCCCTCTGTTGCACCCAGGAATTCACAAGTCTGGCGTCGCGGTAATATTACTGCCAAGTGCGGCAGCACGAGTGCCACAAAATTTCCGCAACACCATGCCACCCGGGCTCGCTCATAAGAGACAGCACGGCAGCAGTATTACGTTGATTGGCCGGCATGGTGTGTCTTCTAAAAAGGGCTAACGAGCAACTCAAAGATATATTAAGGAGCATTTTCATGACTTGCTATGATATTTTTGAGACTGGAGGTATCTCAAGATGGCAGCAATCCAATTTGGTCCCACCGAACTAGCCGCTAGCTTGTTAATCCTGTCCTGGATTGAACTTTCTCAGGCATCCAGGTTGAGAAACACAACCAGGAGTTTTTTTTAAACTTCATTTAAGATATTTTGCTTCTGATCCAATTAGATTCTTCAATTTAAACAGAAAAATCAAAAATACACGTAGAACTTGGCAAATACGAGCTAGTTTACAAATCAAACCCTCGCTCCTCCTTCCAGAATGTTGTCGGGATCTGCTTTCGTGCTCAGATCCCATTCCCAAGAGTGTGAAACTATCCAGGGATTACATTCTGGATTGACTGCTCCAAAACTTCCAGAGCGTCTGTCACTAAACCTCCTGAAGCGTTTGAGTTCACTCGCAGCAGGATCTACTCTGGGACTTAAACACATAGCGGTTTTGTCACACACATTTACACACAGCGCACGCCTACGCGCTCGCAAAACAAGTAGGAAAAGTTGCACAAACACACACCATCATACATGATGCTTCTGTGTAGGAGTGTGTATACGTGTCTCAGAGGGATACAGTTTAATTAGAGCCAGTTGCTAAGTGATAACACTCCTGCAGGAAAACACATACAGCCGCTCACCTACGCATCACCTCCAGGTCTTAGGGAGATTATTGTTTATCTTGATAAATATGGGCTCCTCCTCATGCACTCTTTCACAATCCTGCAGCTCTTCTCAGAGATGTTTGCCAAAGGGGCAGATGGAGGCAGCAGACGTAGTTTTAACTCGGCTGTCTAGCAGCTACCGCGTTCTAAGTTTAATCACTGTAAACTATCTAAATCTCACGCTACGTCTCTGACTGAAGTCTAAAACACTCCAAGAAATCATAAAAGGCCTTTTCTGTTCATTATTAACAATCATGATGATGAATAGGGAGTGAGATAATCCTGTACATATATGAAACGTGTTTTAATTAAAATTAAATCGTGTACAATAACCTGATAATTAGGGATGGGTATCTTTGACATTTGAATCGATTCGGTACTAATTCCCGGCACCTAGGAATCGATACCGGTACTTAACGGTACCAATTTTAGATACTTTTGAGTGTTTAATATTTTAATTCTCTTTTATAATTAAATATATATTTTTCTCAATATTTAACCATATTTGATTAATATCACGATAAATAACATTCAACTGTTTGTATTTTAACATCTTCCTTGTAGTTTTATGAGCTGATAATTAAACTGAAGCAAAAATCTTTACTGTGAACTAGATTTACTGTGTATCTTCATTCCTTTTGCCGTCTTTTTTCATTTGATTTTTCCTGCTGGGAAGTTAGAATTTCCGAGGAGAAAGCGAACATTAGCTGATAACAATGGTGGAAGCTAATTTATCAAGCTAACGTTATCTTAAAGAGTTTATTTAGCTGCTGGAGCAGATTAAAACGATGATGCCTCACACTTAGATCGTTGTCACTGGTTTCATCTTCACCCAATCACCCGTCGCATTTAGTAAAGTGAAGCCAAACTTCAGAGCGCGTTCATGTTCTTCTAGCCAGAGATTCAGTTCCGAGGAGAAAGCAAACGCACCATTAGCAAAACGGAAGCTAACATATCAAGCTAACATTATCTTACATTTTATTTACCTACCGGAGCAGATTAAGATGAGGATGTCTCACTTAGATCGTTGTCTGTCGCTGGTTTCATTATGACCCAGTTACCCATCACATTTAGTGAAGTGGACCCAAGCTTTAGCGTGCGTTTTTTTCTACCATGCTGCTCTGTTTACAACTCGCTCGCAGCGACCTACGTAACGCTCTTGCGCATGCGCAGCTGTCTAGGCAAGTTCTCGTTATGAAGGACGGGTACCGAAACGAGGCACCGTTTCAAATGACGTGAATCGGTGCTCAGTCGGTACTGTGGAATTCAGTCAGTATCTTAAAAAGTACTGAATTCCGTACCTGTCGCTACTGATAATATATCACTTCTAAGAATGCCATCTTTAGAACAGGATTAGTACGTTCCTCAGAAACCTATTCATGCCATCTGGTGGAGAATCTAAGTACTGCAGGTGAGTAAGTACGTTTTTCCAGAAAGTATCAAATTATAATGTGACATGTGTTCATCTAAGTGTTAAATCAGTTTTCAAATGTGACTTTTGTTGGTATGAATCCCTTATTTTCATAATGTTTTCATTCCACTCAAACTTTAACGTGCTTTCATAATTGTACTCTATGCTGCATATGAGCTTTGAAATAGAAAAGCTGCAGAAACACAGTTTAATAGATTTTATTTCGTTCCAAATGTTAAACTGAAATTTAAGTTGAATCCAAACAGAAACAAGACATTTTTAAGCTTGTGAACATGATTTTAGAACGTTCGTGTCGAACGAGTTGCCTCTCGTGGACACGGCTTGCTGTGTAGACACCGATTTCAGAGCTTACTGTAATTATTCTTCAACCTGGGACTGAACATGGGGTTTCCATAATTGCCGAGTAAGAAGACTTTAATTTGTCACCTCTAGCTTGTCGGTGCGGAGAAGCTTCTGGCTGGAGGAGGAGCTGGTCGTCACGGAGACGGGAGGGCTGCCGGGGACAATAACCGGCGTGCTGGGGAGGATGTCTGTGGGAACCAGACCCATGCTGTGGGACATTGGAGTCAGGTAAGGTGCGTAGCTCAAGCCGGCACTGGAACCCAAGCCCTGGGTTACTGGGAACGTCTGGAGGAGGAGCAGAAGTGAGCTCTGGCTCGGTGTCACAGTTTTATGAAAATGCAAGCGACAGAAACATGGTGGAGGGTGATGGACGTAGTGAGGGAGGAGGAGGAAAAGCATTAAGATAAATGAATCAGGGCTGCAGCTGCCCAGAGACAGATGAAAGTAAACCGACAAGGAGACGGACAGCCGGGGTAGAGAAGAGAATAGGTGTGGGGAAGTAGAGAAAGACGAGATTCTTTTAAACATCTCTGTGTGCTGGGGAGATGCTGCTGAGCAGGCGTGTTCTGTTTTAGTCACACTGATGCAGATAACAACATTCACACCTGGCAGCTGCCCCCTCTGAACCTGATCTGGTCTAGAACAAACATCTAAGGTTTAAAGGGTTCAGCACTGACCACGGGCTGCATGGTGGTGCCGGGGATCATGAACTGCATCTGCTGAGCCAACATGGCGGCCGCCGTCTTCTGCTGGATCAGGTTGTTGCGCCCGTTGATCTCCAGTTGGGTCTTCAGGTGGGCTGGTGGGTGGAGGTATTTGCAGTTCTCCCGTGTGCAACGACCCTGAAAGAGAGGCAGAGAGACACGAGCCAGGTCAGCTTAGGACTTGTCTAAAACCTGGAGTCGGATTTCTTGCTGTGCAAACTTGTCTCTGAACTCCTTGGAGTAAAATAATGACCAACAGCGTCTGACTTGCTAGCTTCATCACAGAGCAGACAAGGAAACATCGAGAGGTTAGTCCTCCTGTTCTTGTCCTGCAGGGCATCACAACTTGGTCGTGGTCTCAGCAGAAATGCAAATGTCTAGTTGGTGGTGTCAGGCTTGAGGTAATTATGCTCTCAGACTAAACAACAATCCAATATGGCTCTTCTTTATGGCGCTGTCAGTAAGAAAGGCAGGGCCCCAGAAGGAGAGCGTTAACATGTCTTTGTAAATGTGAAGGAGGGCAGAGGGAGCTGCAGATAAATTAGAACCAGAGAGGAGGTCTGCTCCTACGACTAAATACCTCTTAACTCCATGACACAGACCAGCCTCAACACCGTGTCCCAATTAGTGGTATCGTTCCCGTTGTGATCTCTCCAATTTCCTCTCATGAGCAAATATGACAGGCCTGCCTTGTGTCAACACCGTGATTGGTAATGACGGAGTTTAATTACTGAAGAGCTGCACTCGAGCGCCGTTTCAAGTCCAGAAAACATCAGACAGGATGACAGCGTGCCGTGTAGAGGCCATCTCATATCGTCTTCAACTCCGATTACAAAATACACGATTCAGTGTTAGTACGGCTTAAACGACAGAGCCTCTAAGCTCCCAGATCATGGTCGTTTCACCATAAATGATGCAATACTCATTCTGGAATGAAGGCATTTTTAATTCCTAATCAGTTTGTGGAAGCAGACCTCGAGACGTTTTCACAATTTCTTCTTTTTGATGCGTCAGTCAACAATATCGTGCTCCACGGTCGGTTCGAGCCAAACAAGTTAGATTAGTGGGCGGTACATCTGATCTATCGGCCAATATTTAAAAATTTTGCCTCAGCAGAGGGGGAGGTACACGCCACCTGTTGGATCAGGTAAGATGCCGATGCGAGAACGCGAAGGGATGTTGTGGTGAGAAAAAATGCATTTGAAGGAAATTTTGAAGGTTGTAGCTCTATGTTATGTTGGACTGTAGACATAAAACTTGTTGTGTACTAATTATTTTGTTTGCGAACATTAAATGGACCCGTGTGAATGTTTTGTTTGGGATGGCTTTATTTGGCTTTAAACTGAGTTGGACAGGGCTAAGACGATAATCAATAAATCAATGAATCGTACGATAGATGAAAATGAACTTTTCCAGCCTCAACATATTGAGGTGAAGAAATGCACAACTCTATTATTATTGAAGAGCAGTTTCGGTTGTTGATACTGGATAGGCCATTGTATATATATATATATATTTTTTTTTTGGAGAGAGGGTATATTTTATTGTTTTTGGTGTGATATCTTCTAACAGTGTGAAAGTCCTTTTTTATTTATTGATTATTTGTTTGTTTTATTTCTTTATTTAGAAGTTCTGGTTCTGGAAACTCCAACGTTAAATAAAAATTTAATTGTTACATTTCAAATGGTGTACTCGCATTATTATGATATATTAATATTACATAAGTGGCTATTTTGGTCTCGATAATGTCGACAATAATATCGTTTATCATCAATAATTTGCTGGACAATGTATCGTCCAGTAAAATTTATTATCGTCCCAGGCCTAGCGTTGGACATTACTTTGAATTTCCAAGTAAAAGCGTTGTTTTTGGTGTCTATACTGGTTGTTGTATTCTTGATTAGCATTTACTAGGGTTGCACAATATATCGCAAATATATCGTTATCGCGATATCAGCATGCGCAATATGCATATCGCAAAGAACAGAAAAATATCGCAATGAATGGTCAGCTCAAATGTTTGCTACACATTATGCAGCCCATCAATCAAACAGAAGCATGATGCTTTTTTTTTAACAAATCAAATAGAGCTCTTCACCCATTTGGCCAATTGGGTGGGTTCTCATAGGTCAGATGCCCGCCCCCGACACTTAATTTTGATGGTTAGCAAACACCTGAGTTAGCTTTTTTCTGCTGTTTCTGCTGATTCTGCTTTTCCCGGGATCCACTGATTTTCTTTTCTTGTTCATTTCCCCCCTTTCCTGGCATCTTTTGCTTTTCTCATTTTTATGATTTTTTTTGTCATTTTTTAATTTCTTTGTTTTTGACCCCCCGCCCCCGAGTTAAGTTTTAATTTATTGCAAGTAATATCGTCAGGGCACTACTAATCACTGTTATCACATATCGCATGTTTTTCTAATATCATGCAGTCCTACTCCTAAATAAAACGACTGGATTAAGGCCCTGCCCCATCGTCGATGTTCGCCCAATCTTAATATTAATACCGATAACACATCACCAGGATTCATGCTGTCCTTGATGCCCACACCTGGCTTCGGTGATCAATAGACTTTAATAATATTAGTGACTAATGGATAAAAAAAAAGTCTTTTGGTTATTTTTTATTGTCTCGTTAGTTCGTTACACAACTAGCTAAAACACACCTATTGGTTTTTGATACAAGAGAAAACAAGAGTAATATAGATTTTATATTAACACTTGAATGATCAGAGTGTTGCCTCAGGTCTACATAGCAACACAGAGAGCGTTGTTCTTTTTTCACTTTCCACAACAGAAAACGATACTTTTAATCAAGCACAGCTCAAGATCTAATCCTGGTTCTGGGAGCAAACAGCCGATACTCTCCAAGTCTCATCAAGGAGCAGAACTAATAAAACCTGGCTGTCCGGTTCTTCCTGACTGATATTACAGATACTCCACAGAGCACCAAACGACGCTAGCAATGACACAATTACTTGTCCTTCAATTGATTTGAAGCACATAGAAGTGGACACTTGTTCTCTAAACCCTAATGGTCTTTCAGTTGTGGAATTAGGACATAAATAAGAACGGAGACCTGAAGAGTCCTGAAACGGAAGGTATCAACCTCCAAAATCTGGTGAGAACTGCAATGATTCGTATGCAGAAGATATCACCTTATAACACGCGTGCATGCTAAATCACTAGATCAACAAAACACACACACACGCACACGCACACACGCACACACGCACACACGCACACACGCACACACACACACACACACACACACACACACACACACACACACACACACACACACACACACACACACACACACACACACACACACAGCTCTATTCAGATGTATCCAGAACAGAAGGCTAATGTTAGAGCAACCAACAGCCTCATCCGTGTCAAAAATAATTAAGAGCTCTGTGCATCGCCGCCTTGTCCATAATGTATGGGGTGTCTTGTGTTATCAGTGGTCATGAGAAACAAAAGCGTGGGTTGGTGGAGCTGTGCAAGAGAAACTGTGTGTGTGGGTGGGTGTGAGAGGGGGGAGGCTGGTGCTGAAGCTGAGCTCTGGACAGCATCCCAGACCGAGTCTGTGGGGAAGCACAGCATCACCATCGCACCCTGCGGAGATCAGAGGCACAGACGGACACAAACACACAACAAAGAGCCTTGTGATGCACTTTGTCAGTTAGTTTGGGCCTAGAGCCAGGCCTTGTCTTTTATTTTTGCCCCATGTTCTATTCATTTATATCTGGAGGGTTAGAGATGTCTCTGATCACATTTAAAGTGATCAGGTGGAGCCGCAGCTTGGGAGAGAGGTCTAAAATGCTCATCTGTTGTCCTAATGCTGAAAAACCTCCCAGAGTCTCCGTGTCACGTTGTGTTCAAGAGCCACTCATCTACTCATCATCACACCATTGTCCCTGTTCTTTGCATAAATTAGTAGTTCTCTTTTGTCTCATGTCGACGTGGAAAAATAAGTATTAAAACACTTGGATGAAAGCTACAGGACATCTTCAACTGATTGTAGTTACAATGTATCCCCAGCCATATCCGTGTCTTTGATTTTTGAATATAAAGTCAAACGTCTGAAAGGGAAAGGGCAGGACACGTTTCGATGAGCTGAGGAGAGGAGGTTGGCTGCAGGCATCCAGCAGTTACACATTTAACTCTAAACACGATCTGAAAAAGCTTTAGAGCACGTTTTACTAAAGCATGAGCCAACGTTTCCCCATTAATGAGACAGAGGTTATGGTTGTGTCCAATTTCAGGAGTTACACCGGAGACCGGCAGTACCCGCACCACTCCGACATTTCAAGTAAAAGCCTTTATAGTTGGTGAGAGTGGCTGCACGGGGAGCGCCGCGCCCCAGAAGCGCCGCGTCAAGGCGCTGAAGATAGGCACCAGTTCCAATTCAAGAGCCACGGCTGTTTACAACATTGTGGAGTACTTTACGGACATTACAACGCAGAACGCCTTCACGGCACAAACCCGACCGCAGTATTGATAACTTTAAAGTACTGTTGATCTTAAAATATTCTAATAAACAGCACAAGGGTTAGGAGTCTAGAACCAGTTCCCATTGTTTAAATTCCTAGGAATCGTTCGACACTTTTGAAAAACGATTCCCCTTATCAATTCCAGTTGGCGCAAATGACGTCATCGCGCACGTTGCGTAGCTTACGGAACCAAGAAACATGGCATCTAAGAGGCACAAACACGACGGCAGGTCTGATCACGTAAAAACAAGAGTTACTTTCCACTTCCTGTTCTCAAGTCCCGTGTGATGTTGTGACCATCTCGCAACTTTCCAAGAAGCGCTCAGCAGCACGTCCTGTGTGACCGCTTGACTTCTCAACACCGCGGCGCGGCTGTCTCCAGGGTGTCCCAGGCTTCACAGCAATGCAAAAGGTATCTAAATTCAAAGGCTTCTCCAAAAGCAACCCAAAAATGTGTCGTTATTTTCCTCAGATTTAAATGTGAAAGATTTATTATGGACCCAAATGGAGGTTTACGATATCGTAATAAAGGCGGAAGAAGCAGAAGATTACAGTTTTGAATCCAAGTATAGTAAATACATGAATTCAAAAGCAGTTGTGTTGTCAGGCATTTGTTGTTTGAATAGATAAAATCATCATGAA